GCCCAATGGGACCTTCTGTGTATGAGTATCATTGTATAGATGTGTGCTTTCCATAGATGTGGAATTTGGTCAGATGTTCAAGGGTTTGCTCTAGAAAAGGAGTCAGCTAACTTCTCTTGAAGAGGGCCATATAATAAACACTTTAGGCTTTGTGAAACACATAGAGTCTCTGTCACATCTTCTTTGTTTGGTTATATGTTTGGTTGGTTGGTTGGTTGTTCAGTTGGTTGATTGGTTGGTTGGTTGGTTGGTTGGTTGGTTTTTACAATCCTTTAAAAATGTAAAAATTATTTCTAGCTCAAGGACTATATGAAACAGACCACTGGCTGGATTTGACCCACTAGCCATAGTTTGCTGACCCCTGATCTAAAGGATGGGAGGGAAGAAAGGATATTATCAATGCTTCTCATGGTTTCATTTAGGGCTTCTTGTCTAGCCTTATTATGTGACTTCTCCCTACTAATACTACTTACCCATTCACTGGTATGTGCTAGACCCTGTCAGATACTTTAAATTCATTGCAGAATCTCAGGGCAGCTAGGTGGCTCAGATGGTTAAGGGTCTGCCTTTGGCTCAGGTCATGATCCCAGAGTCCTGGGATCGAGCCCTGCATTAGGCTCCCTGCTTCTCCCTCTCCCACTCCCCCTGCTTGTGCTCCTGCTCTCACTATCTCTCTCTGTCAAATAAATAAATAATAATAATAAATCTTTAAAAAAAATAAATAAATTCATTGCAGAATCTCAATGAACAATCCTTTGAGGTAAACAGTATGCTATCCCCATTTTATAGATGGGAAAAGTGAGGTTTAGGGAAGTTAGGTAACCTTCCCAAATTCACACTACTAATAAGTCACAGAGTCAAGAACCAAAATTAAGTCTGACTCCAAATCTCTCATTTATTCTTTCCACTGGAAACTGACAATAGCAGCTCTCCCTACCCATCTACTTCCAATAAATCCCACACATACTATGCAATCTTCCTAAAATATCAGTTTGATCATGACCCTTCCCTGCTCAGAATGCTTCAGTGGCTTCCTATTATTTACCCAATACACTAAAATCTCCTCTGTCTAGCTCCTGATATGATCTCAACTTAAATTCTCAGTTTTATTCCCATGCCCCTGTGTTTCTCCAGTCCTTCAGACCAGCTCAATCATCAAACAGCATGGAGGCTTTCCACTGCCATGTTTTTCCTCATGCTGTCCCCTACCAAGTACATTCTCCCTTCCCACTTCTCACCACTTACCCACCCTCTGCCCTCTCACAGGTTCAGCCAAACTGTACCTCCCTCAGGAGGCCTGCCATGGACCTTTTCCTTCCAAGTGGGAGTTAATGGCGCTCCTCCTCACAGAGCTGTGGCCCTTTGTTTGCACCTCTGTCTGGGAGTTAAATTTGGGGGCAGGTGTATATGGGATCCTGCCCCTTGAAGGTCCTCTTCTTCAAAGTCCCTCATCTAGGCTTGGATAGGCTCTGTCATTTGGGCACCTGTCCCCCACTAGGACCTTCTAGTCATCTTGAGAGCTTAGTGTCTCTAGGAACTGGCTTTTGTTTAACGGTCTATTCTTCGTCTCAAGGGCCTAATTCAATTTTAGCTAGAGTTTCCAATTGTTCATTACACAAGCCCAGTCTTGTAAAATGGAGAGTTGAGTTTGGCCAACTCTGAAACCCCCTACTCAGACCCTATCATCATTCGGGTCTTCAACTCACTTGGTAACTCCAAGACCTTAATGCATCATTCTACCCACATCTTTAAGGCATCTTGTATTTGATGCACTATTCGCAAATATCACATTTAATCTCTATAAAACCCCTGTGAAGCAAGTGGTGTACCCTCCTTTTACAGATGAATAAACTGAGGCTGCAGAGAGCTGAAGTATTGTCCCAGGGTCAGTGTGTCCTTGCGGAGCACGAGCATTGCCCCAGCACCCCTCAGGCATAATAAGCAGAGGCTCCAGATTCCCAGCCTCTCATGTCCGGAGGAATTGTATTCTGGCACATTTATGCAAATGTTAGAGCCAGAATCTCAGGGAGGAGTGGGGAGAGTCAGGGAGGAATGAGGTCAAGAAATATCTGAAGGCGTTTCTCCCAGGAACCCCTGGCCAGTGTCTATGAGCCTAGCCCTTCTGTGGTATGAAGGAAATTTTCCCTTACCCTAATATATTTTTTTAAGATTCTATTTATTTATTTGACAGAGAGAGACACAGAGAGAGAGGGAACACAAGCAGGGGGAGTGGGAGAGGGAGAAGCAGGCTTCCCACTGAGCAGGGAGCCCGATGCGGGGCTCCATCCCAGGACCCAGGGATCATGACCTGAGCCGAAGGCAGACGCCCAACAACCGAGCCATCCAGGTGCCCCTCTCTTACCCTAATATTTTTAACATCACGTACCCCGATCTCCTGTGGGGACCTGTATCACAAAAAATTTCATTTCCGAATCTGCTACACCAAATGCCCTTAGGGTAAAAAAAGTGCATGTGTGTACACACATGCACAGCAAAAGCACACACGTATTTCATAGATCGTGGGAAAACCACATAAGGTTATCCTCCAAAGTGCATGTAATTGTCACATGGTATCGATTACACGTAACAAGTAGAAAACCGAAAAAGATGTGGCTTTAAAATAAAACAAGTTTAAACAAAAAAGAAAAAGGCAAAGAAGAATGGTGGAAACTGAAAATGCTTAAATGCTCATTCAGACAGGAGATTAGGTCAATCTCCAGACCCACCGACAAGAAGTGAGACAGGTCTGGGGCGAGGAAGATTGACAGGAATTGCCCAGTTGCCATAGTTACCAGCTATGAATTTTCCTTCAGGCAATCATAAAGCGGCTTAGAATCTCTGACCGACTTGTTCTTAATCAAATTATCAAGTGGGTAAATTTTGTCTTGGGGAAATTTTCTCAAATCGTTTCTGATGTTCACTCACTCATTCATTCATTCATTCATTCATTCAAGAAACATTCATTGGTTTCCGCTATGAGCCAGGCAGGGTGTTAGGTGCTATGAAAGAAACAGTGAGAGAGCTGATCCAGGAGACAGATGGGACCTTGCCATAGATAACAGAAGCAACAGCAATCATTTGTTAAGTGCTCCCCATGTGCCATTAATTATTCCACTAATAAGCACAAATAGCCTATGAGTCCAGTTCTTATTATCTCTACTATGGAAATCAGTTCACCCAGCACCATGCTCAGCTCCCTCTGCCCGTGGGGCCCAGGCTTCATCTGCTAATGCTCCATCCCAGTGTTGTTTTGTACACATACAATGCGAGCCATGAGTATAATTTTAAATTGTCTAGTAGCCACATTTGGAAAGAGGTAAGAAGAAACAGATGAAACTAATTTTAATTATGTATTTCATTTAACCCAATCAATATATTCCAAAATACTATCCTAACAACGTAATAAATACAAAAACTACTCATGAGATATTTTATAATTTTTTTCATCTTCAAAGCGCAGGGCATGTTTAATATTTACAGAACATCTCAATTTGGACGGGTCACATCTCAAGTGCTCCGTGGCCACCTGAGCCTGACAGTAGCCATACTGGGTGGCGCAACTCCACCCCTTTCTCAGGCAAGCACTTTGGCAGGGTAAGACAAGTGTCCGCCTCTCTGAAGGCAGAAGAAGAGCTGGGTACTCGGGCATGGCTGGGGATACCAGGAAACAAAGTGACATTTGAGCCAAACCTTGAAGACCAGGAGGGATGAGAACAGGAGAGAGAGGTCATGCCAAGCTGGGTGAGCAACATGAGAGAGACTGGAGAAGGCAGGTGTGAACAGGAAGAACAACACCAGTTCACACTGCTGGCATATAGGATCTTGGGAAGCAGCATTTTTATACCTTCTTACCATGCTCTATGGTGAGAGATGTTTTATACGTATTTATCCACATTTGTGTATACACACAGATATACACGTATATCTACATATATTCACATATGTATGTACACACTCAGGTATCTTCTATTCTATTAAATTCCCTTCTATTATAATTTTGTGATGCTGACCATGATCCACCAACCTGATTTCATAGCCACTCTGGATTGGAACTCGCAAAGACTACCGAGGAGGACACGTACCATCTACATCTCCAGTGCCCATTTCCCCCCTCTTTTACTCATTCCTGCATTAGCTCAGTGCAAGTGAATTGATGGAACTGACCCACCTCTGGCTCCAGCAGGAGGCCCACAACTCCAGTGTGGTCCGCCAGACCACTGCATCTGGTGGCCTGACTGATTCAGAGATACGTGTATGGCCAAACAGAGCCAATTAGAGCTAATCCCACGATTTTCTTCTGCAATGATCAGGGCAAGGAAGAGCCTTTTATGCTACACTTTGGAGATGACAGGAGACCCCAGTTGCAGAGGGCCTGCTGAGAGGGAATCCAAAAGAGAGAAAAAGCAGATGCAAGAGTGGAGAAGCCAAATTTTGAAAGTATTGTTTGAGCGTCTTTATCACACCGTGCCTGAAACCTCACCCCTAATCTACCATGGGACTTTTAAATTATAAGAGCCAATAAATTTCCATTGTTTCCTTAATCCCAGTGAGGTTGAATTTTCTGTCACTTAAAACCTAAAGAACTAATTGATAAAATCCCCGTACATGTCACCGCAGACACTCAGTGCCTTTTTATTGCTTCTCTTTGGCAAAGCTCCGGGCATTTTTCTCCTGAGCCAGTCCCTGTCCTTTACCATGTTCCTCCCCTCTTGTCTCCAGGTCTGAATCCCTTTCTTTATGTGTTCTTTTCGCCATAACATGAGTGTCTTCACCTAGCTACTTCTCCCGGGCACATTTGCATTTTTAATCTCACTAGCCCACCATGTGATCTAAAAGACTTGGAATTTCAGCAGTGTGGCAGACAGATGGGGGAGAAATCTGGGAACAAAGATTCACCTGGTATCTGCTCTGAAAGAGTGTAAGCCCAATTCCACACACAGTGGCTGGGTTGTTTTGTTTTATTTTGTTTTGAATTAATTTAAAAGTCCCACTTTGGGGGTGCCTGTCTGGCTCAGTTGGAAGAGCGTGAGACTTTTGGTCTCAGGGTCGTGGGTTTGAGTCCCACTTTGGGTATAGAGATTACTAAAAAAAAATAAAATAAATAAACTTAAAAAAATTTTTTAATAAATAAATAAAAGTCCCACTTTTGTTGTAGTTATTGTTGTTGCTAAGTGATGAGTTATTTCCTGAAACTCCAAGCTGCCGTCTGGGTCTGTGACTTTCCAGAACTCTCTACCTTAATTGGCAACTATGCACCCAAAGAGGTATCCCGTGAATACTTGGTTACTTATAGGAAAATGTGAACCCTTCAAAAATAAGTACCCTGCCAACATTTCTGAGCTGTGAAAGGTGGTGCCCAGAACTGTCAAATGTCAAAAATAATTACCAGGCAGAATGTTACTCACACATCTAGCAGTCATGATCAAAACTGATCCTTCCTGCCTTCATTTGTCTGGACAAAGTTAGGGAGGGAAGCTGCCCAGCCCGTTGCCTTGAGGCCTCATAGATTTGGAAAGGGTGAGTCCCCGACCTAATTCTGGAATATTCCCTTTAGCTGTCAGGGGTAATTTTGCGCACTCACTGCTCAGCTGCTGTTTTCATTTGTTTGTTTTTCTACACACACATATAATTTTTCATAAGCGCACAGATTGATGGTATCATACTCACCAGGATTTTTAAACTTTCCATTATAAAGTAAAATATAATACAGGTGCAGAAAAAGTATTCAAAGCAAATGTAAATAGTAATGAATTATTATAACCACCACCCAGGTCAAGAAATAGAACTTTGCAGCCCCCTTAGAAATCGCTGTCATATGCTGCATCCCAGCCACTCCCCATCTCTGAAAGGTAATCACTCTCGGGACTTCTGGCTAATCCCTGCCTTGTGTTTCTTTATCGTCTTATCACCCAAGTGTGAAATCCTAGACACTGTAGCTTGGTCGTGCCCATGTTTTTAAAAATCTGAAAAGTCTTCATTTCTTCTCCTCAGAGGTTCCCCCTCCATCCTTTTATTCTCCTTACAGATTATCTATCAAGAACCCAGCAGGCTGTGTTTAAAGGGGAGAGGGGTTCCCAGTATCTACTATGCCCATCACCCCCCATGCCTTCCTCCCTCCACCTCACGCAGAGCCAACGGCTTCCCTTGCCTGCTCCACGCCAGCCAGCTCAAACTCACAACCGCCGTGTGCCCTCCAGTGTTTCCCTCCATACCCGTAGATCATAGGCAGGTGGTTTTTTTGAAAGGAGAGACCGGAAAGCAGGAGTGAGGGAGCAGAGAGTGAGACAGGGTGGAAAGGCGGTGTTATGGAGCTGGTCACCACTGCAGGTTCCGCAGAGGCACAGAAATCATAGGAGGGCCACAGGGACGTGACTCGAGGCACAAGGAGGCTTCCAAGATCTCCCTCTCCTCCCCAAAAATGTCTCCAACTTTCCTGCTTTCACCATGCAACTCTTGGCTTCCCCCCCACACACATTAATCTGAGCCTAAAATAAGCCTACCATCTTTCAAAGCCCCACTTTGAATGTCACCTTTGGGAGGCAGCATATGGAGAAAGAACATGGACTTGGGGGCCAACGCGCTGACAAGAGCTGGCTCAGCTCTTCTGCTGCATCAGACACTTGGACGGCTCCTCCAGGGTCTCCAAGACACAGATCCCCTCCCGGAGCAGGGACACTGGCAGTCTGGCTTGGCCAGAGCCTCTGCTAAAAACAAGCATCCCCCCACCCCACCCCACACCAAAGGGCTTGATGAAGCAAATGCCCAGGATGTTCCAGCCAGATGTTGTAGAGACAGATATTGTAGAGACAAGAAAACACCTGCAGAAAAGAAAGCAACAGAGGGTCAGAAGTTGCAAAACAGGCTTTGCTAACTAGATAAAACTGGTCTTCTGTACAATCCTTTAGCCAGGTCTTCTGTCCCCCAAACCACCCCCCACCCAATCAGTCTTCCCCAAACCCCCTCCACAGTCACTGTCGCCCAGGTTAGAGAGAGATTGAACCACCCACTCAGAGCACCCACTCCGTCTGTACCAAAGTCAGCTTGCTTCCAAAATTGACTAGAAGATGAGATTTTTACCTCCAGAGAAAAACAAAGCAGAGAGAAAGAGGGATGTATTCACCCACACTCATGAAAGGGGAAACGTCTGAATTTGACAACCTGGAGACAATTCAGGTATGTGCCACTGTGGCCAGTGGAATGTATAAATGTCATTTCCCATCTGCCTCTGAGGCTAAAATATCAAAACTGACACCACCTCACGGCTTGAGAGCCATTCCCTACAAAATGACAACAAATAATTTTATCATAAACAAGTTAGCGTGAAAGTCCTCCCTTCTTAATTTCAGGAGAAAGGATGCTAATCCTTTAATTATGCAGTACGTTGATCTGTCAAACTGACTGTCTCTGCTAAAAAGTATTTTGCTATCACAGAGCCTGCTGATAAGTATCTGCTCAAAGAATTTATAGTGTTACAGAAAAATTCCCTTGTTTAAAAAAAAAAAAAGCAAAGAGTGGAAAACTTAATCCTTTTAAGAAAGAACTACTATATAGACCCGACCATCAGCTGCCTCCCCCATCGTGCCTGCGGAAGGAGTTGTAGACAAAGGCCAAGGGAACCGGCCTGCAGTGTATTTCCAAAAGGTGTATTTCTGAAAGGGTGCTTGAGGACTTAACTGAATGGGAGCAACAAATAAAAACTCAGATCTAGTTGAGAAATCATATGCTCAAAGACCTGAAGAAGGAGCACCTCGTGGTGAGGCTAATGTTGAGTGGAAGATCTGATATTAGCCCTGGAGAAGGAGCAGCTATGCTTCAGGGCAAGTGCATGAGGAAACTGGGCCAGGAGACCTGGCTGTGCCAAGTGGGAGCTGTATGATGTTGACCAAAGCTCAGACGGAACCCTGATGAAAATCATTTTCCCAAAATAGGAATAGCTACCTTTACCTTACAAGACTGCTGTTAGGATTAATGAGATAGAACATATGAAAGCACTTCAGCAAGTCTAAAGTAAGTATGTGATCATGGCAGCATATTAGCTGGTTGCTCCAATGGACTGCATTTAGAGGCACACAGAGACCACCTGACCAATTTCAGTTCATTTATCCCAGCCCACTTCCCATACTACCAGGCTGCCCCAAGTCCTATGGGAAATCCAAGCACAGGCAAATCATTTGACTCAAACAATCTGCATATAGCCAAATACATTCTAAAACTAAAAAAATAAAATAAAAAAATTTAAACTTCCTGGTCACTTAATTTACAACAAAAGAGCCAAGACTATATACAATAGGGAAAGGACAGTCTCTTCAGTAAGTGGTGTTGGGAAAACTGGACCGTCACATGCAAAAGAATGAAACTGAACCACTATCTTACACTATACACAGAAATTAACTCAAAATGGATTAAATCTTGTATATAAAACCTAAAACCACAAAACTCCTAGAAGAAAACATAGGCTCCTTGACATCGGTCTTAGCCTTGACTCTTTGGATCTGACACCAAAAGCAATGACAACAAAAGCAAAAATAAACAAGTAGAAGTACATCAAACTAAAAAGCTTCCCCACAGCAAAGGAAATCATCAACAGAATGTAAAGGCAACCTCCTGAATGAGAGGAAATATTTGCAAATCATATATCTGATAAGGGGTCAATATCCAAAATATATAAGGAATTCATACCACTGAAGAGAAAAAACAAACCAAAAAATCTGACTTAAACATGGGCAGAGAATCTGAATAGACAATTTTCCAAAGAAGACATGCAGATGGCCAACAGGTACATGAAAAGATGTTCAGCATCACTCATCATCAGGGAAATGCAGATCAAAACCACAATGAGATAGCACCTCACACCTGTTAGGATGGCTGTTATCAAGAAGACAAGACATGGGGCACTTGGGTGGCTCAGTTGGTTAAGCGTCCAACTCCTGGTTTCAGCTCAGGTCATGATCTCAGGGTCCTGGGATCAAGCCCCGCATCAGCTTCCGTGCTCAGCATGGAGTCTGCTTGTCCCTCTCCCTCTGCTCTTCTCCCTGCTCAGTCGCTCGCATGCTCTCTCTGTCTCAAATAAATAAATAAATAAAATCTTTAAAAACAAATAAGTAAATAATAATAGTAATAAAAAGAAGACAAGACATAACGAGTGTTGGTGAGGGTGTGGAGAAAAGGGAACCCTCATGCACTGCAGGTGGGAATGCAAACTGGTGCAGCCACTGTGGAAAGCAATATTGAGGTTCCTCAAAAAATTAAAAATGGAACTATCATAGATCCAACAATTCTACTTCTGGATATTTATTTATTATCCTCCCCCCACCCCCCGCAAAATGAAAACACTAATTTGAAAAAATATATGCAGTCCCATGTTCACTGCAACATTATTTACAATAGCCAAGACATGGAAACAACTTAAATGTTCATCAATGGATGAATGAATAAAAAAATACGGTGTCTATACATATATATGAATATTATTCAGACATTAAAAAACAAGGAAATCCTGCCATTTGTGACAACATGGATGGAACTTGAGGGCCTTATGCTAAGTGAAATAAGTTAGACAAAGAAAAATACTGTATGATCTCACTTATATGCAGAATCTAAACACACAAATTGTGTGTTTCAGAGTCTAAACACACACAAACAAAAACAAGCTTATAGATACAGAGAACAGATTGGATGTTGCCAGAGGTGGAGGTGGGGCGTTGGCAAAATGTATGAAGGGGTCAAAAGTACAAACTTCCAGTGAAACAATGAACAAGTCATGGGGATATAATACACAGCATGGCAACTATAGTTAACAACACTGTATTGCGTATTTGGAAGTTGCTAAGAGAGTAGATCTTAAAAGTTCTCATCACAAGAAAAAAAGTCTGTAACTATGTGTAAAGACAGATGTTAACTACTTATTGTATCAATCATTTTGCGGTATATACAAATATCAGGTCATTAAGTTACGCACCTGAAACTAATAAAATGTATGAGAATTATATCTCAATTTTTAAAAATTCAACAAGTAAATAAACCCCCCAAAAATTAACGCTTTCTAATACTAGAGCTGAGAATACAGAAACAAG